AAAATCAAAATGATTTAACAAATTTTGAAATTGAAGGAGTAAAAATTGACTGTGAAGAAAATGTAAAGCTACTTGGAGTAAATATAGATTCAAAATTAAATTTTAACCAACACATCTCAGAGCTATGTAGAAAAGCCTCAAAACAGTTGGCGGTACTCAAGCGAATTGGAAACTCCTTACCAAAAAATGTAAAAATGTTAATTCTCAAATCCTTTGTAATGTCAAACTTTAATTTTTGTCCTGTTATTTGGCACTTTTGTAATAAATCTAGCACAAACAAGATGGAAAAAATCCAGGAGAGAGGACTACGTTTTGTACTAAATGATTATATCTCAGATTACAAGGATATTTTATCGAGCACAGACTCATATTGTTTACATATTACTCGCATGAAACTCATTGCTTGCGAAGTTTTTAAAATTGTTAATAAGTTATCTCCTGACTACCTACAAGAAATAATAAATATAAAATGTTCATCTTATTCATTTAGGAATGAAAATACAGCACAGCTTCCAAGGGTCAACACCACCAGGTATGGAAAGAGGTCCTTCCGCTATGAGGGCGCCCGCATATGGAACAGCCTGCCGAACGAATTGCGTAAAGTGGAGAACTACTCCGAGTTCGGCAGACTGATCCGTAGGTGGGACGGGCCCGAGTGCGGATGCACTTTATGTGTTAGTTAGCGTTTCTGGCTACCTATTTTTCCTGCTTTGTATGTGTCCTGTGCTGGCTGAAGTGTATTTGTTTAAAATGTAACGTACAGCTTTACATATGGCTCTGTGCTTTTTGTCAGCTTTGTAGTTTACAAATTTGATGCTTTTGTCATATGTTTATTTTTTCTGCAAATGTGCTGTACATGTTTTATATGCTTCATATTTTTACTGTTTTAACGTTTCAATATGTATGTGTATTTTGTAAATTTCTTGTTATGTATTTTTTTGTTTCTTTACATGTGTTTGTCGAAATACAAGCTCTTCGTAGCTTATGTTGTATGTTTATAATATTCGACGTAAAATAAAGCTTCTGTATCTGTATCTGTATCTGATAACACACATTTCTTTCTCTTTGAAATATGATACCACTGGCAAAATACGTAACGTAGCACCACGGAATTAAATTTTAAATCTTTGTGGCACGAGTAATATAAGTTTAAACTTCCTCTTAGCTGGTTACAGATATGTATCATATTATCATATTATTAATAGGCCAAGTATCTACACACATGTCATACTCCATACACATTATCGGCGCCACTCAGCGTATTTGCATTTAAATGGGAAAATCTGAAGGACAACCGAATGGTGAAGTAAGATTTCCGCGTGTGTACACTTCAAAACGAGACTACAAACCTACACAGATAAAAAAAATAATCTGAAAACGAAACTTGGAGCACACGAACGGGGAACCAAGTAAGTAGAAATGACGGATGTTGGTATAATTCAGTTACAAGTGTATCTAGACTGAGTTTGAACTCGTGTAACTTTGTAAACATAGGAGGGAGTCGCGTAACTCACTTCAACATGGATGTAACTCTCCTGGCTGTGTGACGAGATAGTCGTACTATCGTACATCTGTCAACAGACAGCTGTATGTTTATTTGTAAGAGGATTAACATGTGTTTGCTTCTATAATTCAAGGACTGCTATGAAGGCATTATGATTGTTTGGATAACAGCTCACGGATTTACAACTATAACAGATCCTTCCTCATGGAATATCTTTGAAGGCATTATGAATATGATTGTTAGGATAACCACGGACTTAGGTAATCTAATTCCGTGGGATAACAGCTCACGGATTTCAAACTAT